GCCGGGTTTACACAGTGGTAGTGTGTGTTATCTGACTCAACTTGAAATATAGATTAGTATCTTATACTTCTCAAAACAGCTACCAATAATTGATAAAATGTCTGGAAAATACAGTCGGATTTCCACAAAATGGGTTGACATAAAATCAACGTCGTCTACATCCCATAGTCGGCAGTTAGTCGCGGCGCTGAAAATAATTGATTCACCTACAATAATTCAGTTTGTTGAAAAATTATTGAAAATCGGCTCTCATATCTCGGTGAACTCAATTCCATTTCGCCTGCTCACGGAGCTTGACAATTTGTTTGCAAACGTTTCATCACCAGTCGAGGTGACATCATCAATGCTTATGAAATGGCAGTGGTCTGCTTGTATCTGTTCGTATATATCTATCTGTGTTCTTTTCCACAGAATATTTTTGTCCCTTGTTCTCACTGTGTTTGACTCGGTTCACCGTTGAACTGGTGCGACGAGGGGGGGATGGGAGGAGAGGGGAGGGTTTCTCCTTCCTTCCTGATTGAGGTTTAGGTTCGTTTCCATGACCCCTTTTTTGTTGCGTCAATTGATTATTGAGTTGCATTGGCGTGTACACAATCCAGTTTTATGTGCTTGTTTATTGAGTTGATTCAAGAGATTTGAGAAACTCTTTGGCGTGTTTTGGCCGGGCTTGGTCGATAATTTTCACTGATTCGAATTCAAAATGAAGTCCTTCTTGATCTTCGTGGTGAGAGATCAACGATAGTGGGTCATGTCTCCTGACTGCCAATTGGCGATCACGGATCCACGTTGACAGGTTTCTCCCAATTTGTCCGATATAGTGTTTTGAGGAATTCTTACAGTCTTTTTTGTAGATAACACAGCTCTTGTCCTTCTCCATTGTTCTCTCTTTGTTTTGACAGAAGTCTCCTTAGACAGGCGGTCTATTTGTGGGCGACTTGTATTTCATCGGATCTCAGCAGACTACCTGTCATTTCCGAAACAAAAATAGTCGATAGAGAAGAAAACATATATAAAGGAACCGATACAAGCAGAACACGGCCACTTCCCAAGCACTGATGAATTCACCTCGGCTGATGATGAAACGTTTGTAAACAAAATGCCAAGCTCGGCGAACAAGCGAAATGGAATAATTCAGTCTGCAAATGAACTACATTTATGCCAGATTTTGTTCGATCAAAATTCATTCAAATCTCTGGCTTCTTTCCTTATTTTAAAAAAATGTCTGTGATGTAACTGAGCGCAAAATATTCCCAGATATACGATGGAATTCATCAAATTTTTCGTAAATAAATTACGATCATTACCGTGCATCTGTTCAACTACTGAATCCAAAATACCCAGATACTGATAATTTAGCCTGTCATCTGGTTTCGGCAATTCCCTTTCTTTCATACTCCATGATTTGTCGCGATCTAATAATACAGGGATTCAAACCTTCGAGCGCTGTGTTCGTAATACGTTTCTTGGCTCCCGTAGGATAACGTAAATTCAAAACAAAATATTTAATCACCAGCTAAGCAATAGTAGTTTTGCAATACAGTTTACGAACAGCCTTCTTCCGGACTCCAGAAAACTAATACCAAAGGAATCTGCCAAGTGGTTATTCCAATGACCTCTCACACGTACACACATTGCATCCGATCTCACGCAGATGTGTGTATAGATATTCGTTTGTCAGATATGGATGGCATGCTCACCAAAACTGAGCTGGAATTGTGTGAACCGGGGTAAATCTCTGATGTTGAAGTGAGTATGAGTTGTGAATAAACGTTGTCAAATATGATGCCTTACTTCACAACGCGAAGAGGGAGGTACTGATCAACAAGGATGATAACTCACTCGTTTGTTTGTTGTTTATACGATTCTGGCAGATTTACTACATCCTACTGTGTTACAAAAAGGATGATCAATATCCAAGAAAAACAATCGATACCGAATAAACATTTAACGTACGCACAATTGCTACTCATTTAATTTCATCTAAACAGAAGTTATTTGTATTTGAAAAGGCTCTCAAAAAAGCGGACTTACATACAACATTCATCGTAAAAGTTCCCGTAGAGGAGACCACATTTACCGCCGAGGATGTGGCATTTGTTTGTTCTTTTTGTATCTCAATGCCGTTTGATCCGGTTATTTGATTGCCTTGATTGACACTGTAGTGTGCTGGTAGACGACTTTGTACAGTGCAGCTCAATACCCTTCCATTTGTTTCCCGGGTGGGTAGCAATTCAAACCAAGCGCCACTATGATCAAATGCTCGCGGGGTGATAGGCGACCCACGTGGGATTGAGCGTACATCCGGTCGTTTGATGATTGATGTGACGCTGTCCGGACTCAAACGACGTGCGGGATTGGCACCAGAATTTTTCGGAGAAATGGTCCATCTGGAAGGCACGTGATGTTTTGTGTTGAATACACATATACAACTTATTACATCATGTACCGCATCAATAGAACAGCGTTGTGTATGAGTAAGACAGAATTCATCCCGATTCATCATTTTAAAAACTCGGTACAGCAGACGTCTTCCTGTTTGAAAAGTGAAACTAAGTAAAGTAAACTATTTGCCCTATCTTTGTTATATTTTACAAATGACTGGAATTTCGAAATCAGAGGGCTCATTTCTGAACTTCCGCCAGAGGGATGTAGGTTTTTCAGTGATCTAATCCCCGACTTGTTGAATTACTTGTATATTAGCCACTTAATCACAAGCGCATCTAATGCGTCTAATGATATTGTAGTTTGGTCATATTCCCTTGTTATTTTATCAAATTTCCTGATGTTTAACCACTTTTATTTGCAGTGGAATATTTGTGTAACAGCGCTAACATATAACTGGTCAGCTGGGTTTTCCCCAGGTGTCGAAACTTTACATCCGCGACGGAATTAAAATCGAAAAGCTTGAATTTAAGAGCTGAAACTCCCATTCGTGTGAACCTAATTTGCTGCTAAAGATGTCAAAGATGGTCAAACTAGCCGGAGAGCGTTCAGTGCTAGCCACCTTGCATGATTCCACTGATAAAGATTTATCAAAGCTCTGATGGAGGGAGGGTATGTAGAATAAACGAACTGCTAACGATCGAAACCTACACCGCAAAATCGACTGAAATAATTGTGGAAAGCTTTCTATTCATTCCGAGGTTTTGACGATCCGCCCGTGCTGCTCAGCGTTAATGGTCTGGACTCCATATCTGGAGATTCTCGACTGCAGTCCGCTGAGTCACACAACGTAACACGTTTAATGGATTGGTTCCAGCACGGCAAAATCAACGCCTACTAGCTATCAAGAAAAAGCTGCAATATATATATGTAAGTATTCTCATATCTAAGCCTTTCACAATTCAAGCCTATTTCTCGACGTTCTCTGCCTACCAAAGATAGGTGTACCTGGTGATATACCTGAGAGCAAGACCAGTTAGCTGTTTATCGTAATGTAACCACCAATCCGCATACTGCCCGACTCCGAGCACCCCAATCGCAAGCACTGTTGTCAGACGTTTCAGATCGCCTCACTTGTCACAGATAAGGTCATGTCATGATGCATACCGTCCATATGGCAACCGCTCATCCGATCTATCCAAATGAGCTGAGTTACTTACCAGATTTTGGTTGAAAAGTTTCCGCCGGAACGAAGAATTTCGCTTAATATTCATCTTCTCAATCTGGTTAGCTGTGTTACTTTTTTTATTAATCATGTGCACAATTAGTAAGCAGTGAACCCAAACTGTTGATGATTTTATCATACTTTGAGTAAAAAAGCAAAATGGATAAACTGCCCGGGGGTTAGCAGATAACTAACGTTTGTCTGTCGGTTCAATCCTATTTTGCGCATGCAAACAGAATGAACGATGTGAGACGAATTGCCTGATAGATGGATGAAAGCATATAGTAACACAAAAAAAGGAAATTTCGATGATTACGTTTACATTATTCAAAATTACAGAATTCAAAGTCAACTTTTTATTATGGGAGATATTAACAAGCGGTTGTTTTTCTGGTCCCTTAAGGTTTAGCACAAATAAATCGATTCATGATTCATAAAAAGTAGACAGATATCACAATTTATCCTTGTTTCGTGCATTGCTACGATTGTTGAAATTTAAGACTTGTCGAAGCTTCATCCAGTTCGCGCTTGCAGGAACCAATTGTGGGCGCAGAAAAAACATGTGGTGGTAGAGAATTTCAAGTAGTGCACACACTGAGGACGAATGAATGACGCCGGCATTTTAGTCGGCAGCTTTGGAGCACTAATTGATTAATTTACAGAAATAAAGTTGCATTACTGTTGTCAGAAATGTGTGAAACTCGCAGCTGAGAACTGATTAAGCTGCCGGTATACCTAAGAGTTTGTTTATCGTTCATATTCAACATGTGCGAATCGCAAAATTGATTTAGGTGTCAAGAGATTCTCGAAACTAGGCGAATGTATTCCATGGGTCACGATAGCTCATACTCGGTGAGGAATCAAGAGCAGTATCAAACTAATTTATATGGAGCAAAGCTCACATTATGCAACATATCTCGGAAAACTATTTCTCCTCGGGATGATGAAGCATATTTACACCAAACATCACATCGAATAATTCAATAATTATCCGCGGATTTCCACAACTATCGATCACAAAACTGTGAAAAAAAAAACATCACGCGAGGAGCTTGCTCAAGCTCGTTCCCACGAGGTTCCTTGCACATGTCCAGAGGCTTGTACGAGAACACATTTCAAATGCAGCCGAGCAGAGAAATGCTCATTGATGACATTATATCATCCTCTACTGACAATGCATTCTCCAATTATCAAGATCGTCCCCAATATAGAATTTAAGCAATAAATATTTTTTGACGAACGTTTTACGGTTGAAGTGGCGGCATTTTGTTATGCAGATACTACATTTGGGCAAAGGTCAAGCAGGGATTCTAAGGTTAAGTTGTCGGTCCAAGAAATTTGTATGAAATCATAAGAAATACTTTGAAATACACTGCACACCGAAATAATACTTAGTTCTTTGCGAGAATATTTGCCTAACTTTGTTCAGATATGCACAGTTGATTAAAGAGTTACTTTCGCCCGGTAAAGAACGCTTCCTTCTCCAATTATATAGCCGTATCTTATTGGTTTTGGAAAGCACTATAAGTTTTACTAATCTACTGGTCTGGGAAATTCGAGAAGATTAGGACCTTCAGACGCATTCAAACCCATGCATAGACCCCACCTACAACCACTAGTTGAGGCCATAAAATGATTTCGTCTTGTTCCCAATTGATCAGTGACCCGTCTGTCAAAGGTATTCAGAATCCACCTGCTGGTAGACAAATTGTTTGCCCGAGTAGGCGAAGAAGATTCATGTGGGTGTTTCGACGTGACAGAAGTCGCCGGACTGTGTCCGCATCCCTGCTATACCACAAGCACATTCATGACATCAACGGCAAGGCGGGTCCGTACTGGATAATTGTAGAATGTATCCAACAGCGGTTTCTCATTAGTCCATTCGGAGAGCGAAAGACGCAATCTGATTGGCGCATCATTTATGTTGTCTTCGTATGTTCGATTTGCTTTTTGGATTGCGATTGCGTCATTGTTTCCCATAGAACTGTTGGCCTTCGAGTCGGTGAAATCACAAAGTTAAATTTCCCTTTGACCCGCTACGACCTGATTGGATCATCATTCTCGATCTGTGCAACATGTACTTCTTCTTCTACATGAAATGAGATTACCTCATCACGGTTCGTACTGTGTGACTTTTTTGTTGTTACTATAGCAAATGTTCCCCGTATACTATCTTAAGTTCGCTGGATATTACGAAGATTGGAGGAAATCTGGAAATGCGCGACGTCTCTTGCTTTAGCTGGGCTATCCGATCGATTGATGAATGAACCCAATTAGTTACGTTTGTCAGACCCAAATACGATATTACGCTATGCGCTTCACAGTCCTCAAGGGTTGGCAAAGAATCACTACAATAAATCTGCGACTCAAACATCCGTTAATGTAAGCAAAAGACAACGCATAACTATCCCTTTTATTTTCGTAATCGATACTCCTTGGCAGACTTAATAACCGGATCAGATGTACATATCGAGAGGAGAAAACAAATGCAGATGGACTCTACAAATTGTTTTCCATAGTCACCTATCGTTTTGTTGTGCATTCCAAAACAGGAAGTAGACAGTTTTCTTCCACCTCCGGAATAGTGGACTGCAGAATAGTTTGGCTCTCTACGACGACACTGTATTGCAACTTTTCAATCTTTGCCGAATTTAGAGAATAAACTGCCTTATATATCCCGATAAAAAGAAACCCAACGGGGACAGATTTGACGATCTTGAAGGTCATTCTGTTGAGCCTCCTCGACTGATTCACCTGATTGTAAATTCCGAAGCTAGAGAATTTATCAGCATCAGAGAATTGTTTGATGCGCCGTCATGCGGGAACCAAATTGAAATAAACACTACCGTTTCTGTTCACTGAATAGCTGGTATCCCATAATCTGGAAACACTTTCAGGTATGAAGTGACTTAACCAGTGAAATAAGTAGATTTTTCTTGTCTGTAACACTTTTATTGATCTGATTGCTAACCACTCATATTGACGAACACCTTGGGATTGCAACGGGACTTCTATCCTTTCAACGATCCAGTGATTAAGTTTGTTATCTTTTGATTTACATGGAAGTAAGCCTCATCCGTTAAAACCATTTACTTCATAACCAAGTGTGTCCGATACATTGTGTAAAATTCAAGTCAATGCTTAGAATCAATGCATCGCTACTGAGCCTCAATGATTGGGCGGAAGCTGTATTTCTGCTGACCATCTCCAGCACAGAAAATGTTGGTATAGGTCTATTGAAGCCTTAACCGTACGCAGTGCATCACTTTGAAGAGATCAGATTCATCTCTGATAGTTTTCGTGGTTGTCAGTTTCGTCTGGTTACTTCTACATATTTCGGTGAATTTACATTTGTTTGTAAGCACTTTCGCATTACCCACTGTTACCGGAATTTGAATCTCATTGACGTTGATGTGATACTTCACTGTCGATTGAAGGTTATTTTATTGTTCCCATTAGACATGACAATCAACAATGAAAACTCCTTCATTGATAGAAGATGTGTCGATGAACAAATCATGTCAATTACGTCAATAAAAACTGAGTTTCACATCCCGTATCAACTTAGTGTCCTAGTACTGCAGCTTCTGCAACACAAAATCATTTTGTAGAAATTATAGCTTTAAAGCAAACGGAATCTTCCATTTTTTCCTCTCCTCTCCATGGAATGAACTTATTTAAAACACGTTACGGTGGAAACCGTCTGGATAACAGATGGGCGTTTTCCGCCCATCAGTTTTTGACGGCGTGCATTGGATGAATACTTTGCTATCTGAATTT